GATTTCCGCTTCTATTTTTCTTCATTACTTTCTTTCATTTCCGCGTATTCATAGTTCTTATCTTTTGTTTGGTCTCTGGATTTTTCTTCTGGGTTTTCTTCTGGGGTCTCTGGCTGCTCGATGGTTCTTTATTCCCTATATCCATGGAGTGGATTCGCGGTAACGAAATCGGCCGGGGAAGCTTCGTCACCATCTACACAGCAAAACCCACCAACCCATATTCTCATCTTCAGCCGCTGGTGGCCGTGAAGGTGTCTACTCTGATTTGCTCAAGAACGAGAAGCAAGTCCTCGACCAAATGGGCTCCTGCCCACAAATCATCCGCTGCTTCGGCGCCGATCACTCAGTCGAGAACGGCGAGAAGTTCTACAACTTGGTTCTTGGTTCTGGAGTACGCCAGCGGTGGCACTCTGGCGGACGCTTGCTGGAATCTGATTCGTATCAGGTGATATTGTTCATATTTTCTGCATCTGGGTTCTTCATTTTCGGAATCGACGATGGGTTCTTCGACACCGACTCGGATTCTCATTCCAGATCCGTTTTGTGGATCTTCATCCCCACCGCCCTCCGCCAACGGCATAGCCACATATGGGTTTCCCGGAGCTTCCTGGTTTGAAGAATCCACAGAGAGATCGAATTTGGGTTTGAGAAAGACGAAGATTTGGTGATTCCCGCCTGGGTTTTGGACGCTCGATTGGAATCCATCACATGGGTTCTCCAGAGAAGAACGGGTCTTGGATTTCATCCTCGAACAGCATATTTGTGCATGACATACTTTGATCGGTTCATTTCCCTGAGAAAAATCCCTGTCGTTCTGGAAATTCTTCAGCTTGCTTCTGCTGTGCATATTGTCCGTGGTAGTTCGTTTCAGTCACCGAGTTGTTCATAACATATGGCGGAGGTGACGAAACAGACGGCGGATTTAGAGGACCGTCGACTCTTTCAGAAATTTCCGAAGAGAAAGCAGGGTCGAAGTTCCGAATCGCATCGAGGAAGGCAGGGTCGAGATTCCTAATCTTATTGAGCATATCGGGGTCGAGTGTCCGAATCCAATCAAGGATTTCACGCTCAAGATCGGACGGCGCAGGTGACGGAACCGACGTCGTCGGATTTAGGGGAACTTCGACGGCTTCAGAAAATTTCGATTTCCGTCCGATTTCAGTTGGCGATTTTGCTGGGAAAGACTGACGAACTCGAGGAGACCACAGTTCCTGTGGCTGCAGCGTGATGGCATATATGATTCAGCAGAGTTTGCTTTCTTTGCACTGTTGATTATCTACTTCTTCATTCATCTTGGTGGTGTTTTTCAGAGCAGTTTTCTGAATTCGATTTTCTGTGATTTTGATTCGTGCTCTGTTTTCTGGTATGGCAGAACGTTTAGACTATGTGCAGCCTAAGTGTTTGACGAATTGCCCATATTTTCTTCCTCTGGATACTTTTCTCGAATTTGATTTGGGATTTTGGTTATGTGTTTTTTCTGAATTGGTAACTGAATTCTGGTATATGGGTTGTGCGATAGATCATCGAAGTGTTGATAGCAGTCATTTGGAATTGTTTGGTGATCTGCAACGCTTATTTCTTGAAGCTGTGGTCTTTGATGTCCTTTCGAGGTTTAATTGAAGTGAAGCTGTGGTCTTGATGTGTTGATCTCTGCAAGTATTAGTTTTCTTGTCAATTTAAAGAAGAAAGTGTCATTCTTTCTATGAATCTTGGAGTTTCATTCTCCTAAGTTGCAGTATGATTGGAGTTTCATTCTCCTAAGTTGCAGTATGATTGGAGTTTCATTCTCCTAAGTTGCAGTATGATTTGTGTTCATGGAGTGTCAGTCTCCTTATTTGGTATTTTTAGTAGAAGTGTGAGATTTGTGTTGTGCTTTGGAGTGTCATTCTCCTTGGCTGATTTGGTTTCTTGGAGTGTCATTCTCCTTGGTAGATTTAGTTTCTTGGAGTGTCATTCTCCATGGTAGTTTAGTTTCTTGGGAGTGTCATTCTCCTTGGTAGATTTAGTTTCTTGGCAGTGTCACCTATGGATTCTCAGTTCACAGTCGAAAATTTGTTGGGTATGTTCAGACCAAGACCACGAAGCACATCTCTTTCTCCTGCAACCATCATGTACTTTGGAACATCTTGTGCCATCACAGCACCACCACCAATAAATGAGAAATAGCCAACATGGCAGAATTGATGAACGACAACAGCCCCTGCAGCCATCTTGGTCTTGCCGTTCCATATCAGTTTCAGCGTTCTAGCTCGTTCAACCTTCACTTGGCTACACCAAGTTCAGTTTGAGGGGGGAGTATTAACCATAGTCATTAGTGATGACATGGTTACTTAGTAATGAAGAATATAGTTAGTTGAAATGTGTTGGTAGGTTGTCATAAGGATAAGATTGGTTACTATAGTTAGAAGGGTATTATTGTAATTAGGTTATATGGCTATATAAGGATTATATAGCTATCATTTCCTTAAGTTCTTTTGTATACATTTTCTCCATTTTAATCAATACAATCTTTCTTGTTTTTCTCTCTATCATCTTCATCTTCTTTTGTACCAATTCTTCATCTTTTACAATGTAGTTAATAGTTGGTATTAAGATTGAAGAAAGCTTGATGAATGGTGAAGGATTTGTTTCAGAAAATACAGAGAGAGAAAAGAGAGAGGGCTCGAGAGTTTGATGAAATTAATTGCTTTTCTTAATTGTCAAGTAATGTTTACAATGGTAGTTTATATATATAACTATCGTACTTACAAAGGTTGTAATGAAAGCTTTACTATTGGATTATATTCTCACCTGCTTATAACAACTTTTATAACTGCTCTTCTAATAACTCACAACTTCATATAACTACCTATCTCATCTATTGACAAGTGACGCTAGTTTGACCCTTGATCTCTTCTTGACTTGGATCCTTGATTCTCTTTTCTTCATCATTATGATTACAGTTGGGAGAAGACGCATAGAACGCTCCATCTTAATTTCTATTTATCTGTAATTGTAACCCAGCAGCCTTTTTATAGACTGGAGAGTCTGGAGAAGATAACAAAAGTCCATGTGCCATGCATAGTAATATTATTGATATTAGAGGGAGAAGCCTTCAAATAAACGAAGAAAATGAAAGAAAGAGAAACGATAGGAGCCATGCAGATTTCTGTGCTCAAACGAATGGGTGAGATCAGTTCTTGCAGCAGTGAATTGTTTTTCACTGTCAACCTTTTTTGGAGAATGTGAAGGTAAAGAGTCGTTAAAGAAGAAATCTTGTAAGGAACTCCTTACAAGAAGTTTTTATATTACCAATTGGTTTTATAGTAAAACTTCAACTTTTACGTTGATTCATGTGTGAAGCTCAATGTCCACACGTGTATCGTTTCCTAGTTCGTGTTATTCACGTATTTGGCTTAAAAATTCGACATGAAGGCATGTGAAGTAGAAACTTTACGGTCTCAATATTGTGAATTGATTTTAGCACCGACGTCGTACCTGTCGTCGCAGGCGCCACGCGCCGGTCGTCGGGAAGTTTGACTCAGGGAAACGGAATATACCTGACTTGGAAGGATAATGCCGTTAAATCTAAGGGCGTCACCACTGTAGCCGTCAAGTCTAACGACGACCGCCATTGACCGTCGCTTGCTTGCGCTGGAACCTCACCGGAAATTGCAGAAAAGCCCAGATTGTCACCAAGCTCGGATTTAACTCGTTTTCGAGTCATCAACCCAAATTTAGTATAAAACCACTCCTAAAACGTGCAAGAGCTTACCTTTAACGATTTCAGGTAGAATGGAGTTCGAATCCACCTCGGATTCGCCAGATTTTCTTCGAATGTACTCACCGGATTCTGGAAAACCAACAGGATCCATGCAGGGTTTAGAACCACCAGAATTTAACTCAGAACCTCATTACTTCCTTCCCAGATTACAACAACTCAACCCAACAAGAAAAGCACCCCCATCTGGCTTCGAACTCAACGGTTCTCACCGGAGTTCGTCGCCGGAACTGGACATGGATGCACAGAGGATGGCAGGGGTTAAAAACCCTTCATTCGAATTCTAATTTCACCAAACCACACCACAGAACACAGAATCAATCAAGTTCATGAGGAATGGAGCTAGGAACCTCCCCTGAGTTAGAATAGGAACTCGGAGCTCCTGGGTTCTTCAGTTCAGTCCTCTCCCAGCCACCGATCACACATGCAAGGGCGTCATCGTGATCCTCATGTCACGAGGATGCAAAAAATGGTAGTTTGGGGTTAGATTATTTAAAGGGGAATGGTGGTTGTGGGTGAGTTAGAGAGAGTCAGGGTGAGTTGCATAGAGATTGAGCGTAGAGAGGAGGGTGATTGAAAATGAGGGGAAAGAGAGGGACCGACAGGGTTAAATCCCACTTAATAATTTCCTAAGTGAATTCACAAAAGTGCCCTCCATTACTTTAAATTTTACATTTTAACATTCGAGACTACGATTTTAATTCCATCTTTGCCTACACAATTATGAGTACGAGAACAATTTAAGAAGGGATATGATAGCCACACATTCCATTTTACTGCTCATACATTTTTTTAATTTTCGACATTCGGATCAGATGAATTGAAGAAGATCAACGGACAGAAATTATCAAGGGTGTGATAGAAGTAAAATAGGGTATGTGGATAGTACACCCCTTTAAGAAACTAAGAAAATATGAGAAGTTGATATTTAAGCTCAAGGGTCAATAATTACTCAAGACACTCAATGAAGGGTATTTTGATCATTTCACATTATTCGGAAACAATAACAATATTTTAAGTTACAGGTTGTACATTATTTTAATTATAAAATTTCGAAGCATGTAGAATTAGTATAAAAGCTTTGTGGGAACACGTAAAATTAACCTTTTTCTAATTTCATCCCTATAGAGATCATGTGGCAGACAAATGACCTTTGCTCGTTCTTATATAATAAGGTCAAACTAATGTCCTTGCATCTACATGAATGTGGCACCATATCTCAATTAAAAAGACCAATCGCTAAAGTACAATGGTTGAGAAGAACATTTATTGCATCGCAAAAGGTAGTGTATTAGAAAGACATTGTTGAGAAAAAATGAAAGCTTACATAAGATAAACCCTAACTATATATACGAAATTACAAAACGGCTCACGCAGGTGGTACTTAACAAACAAGAACACAAGAAAAATAATAAACCAACTGTGAAATATTGTGTTATTAATTTATTCTAGTAGCACACAAGCATGCATGTACGTACGTAGGTATTCATGCACGGAAAGATAATTAAGCGATTATTAATCTTAATTCCCTCACATGTCACACATATATATATCTTGATTCCCTCTCCTTGTTAATTAGTAGCTAATTAATTAACAATGTTTAGTGCAGAAGCATCTGCGGCGAAAGCCACGACAATGGCCTCCACGGAAGCCCTCAGTCTGGCAAACAGTTGCACAGTTACTTTTACTCACGCAGCTTCCCTTGAACCGGTGGCTCTGAGAGTCACAGGTCCTACCCTCTGCAACCATTGGTCCCATCATCCCTGCCAATTATATACATTCCAAACATATATGAGTGATCTGTATATTTTCTTGGGCAGCAATTACAATATTAACACGAAGCAAGTTAGCTATGGGAGAATATGTAAATTTATGTTACCGGTAGCCACCAAAAGAAGGAAGAGGAAGGCAGTTGAAAATAAACGCATGGACCGCTCCATCTTTCTATATGAATTTTGATTTTTTGTATGTAAGAGGACTCAGGGGGAGGAAGAGAGAGACCTGCAGTTGATGTAAATATTAGTCAACATGCAAGTCCTTATATAGAGAGCTACCAGTACCAGATCGGTGCCATGCCATTGAGAACAACACGAGAAAATTAAAGGTTACTAATTAAAATATAGTGTTCTGTATGAATGAGTCATTGCGAGTGAGGGCGCACTAGTGTTGAAAGTTGAAACAGTGATTTCATTGTCTATCTATGTGCTTCTTGTCCACATATCATGTCGACAATCCAAGCTCTATTGAGCTGTCAAACATCTTCTTTTCTTCGCCACTCCACTTTACTTCACTGTATCGGAATCGATCTCTTTAAATTCAAAGATTATTGAAGAATTAATCTGGCAAATCATTTATAAAAAGGACACGTGGAATGATCACTTTGTTCATGGGAATATTTTTTGCCCACCAAATTTAAAATTTAAACTCGTCTATGGTAATAAATAGAGTGCTGAACATTACCACCACTTGAAGGCGGTGAGCAAAAATGCACTAGTTGTTCACACTTTATAGTCACACTATCCCAACCCATCGAAATGAGGTTAGAAAATTAAGCATAAAGCTTAAAGAATATTCAATTATTAGACTAATTGAACAAGGTCAGTTTCAGAAAAACCACCCAGCTTGGAAACTAAGGACTGTCATCCATCTTTTATATGCAGGTAGGCATTCTCCTTGTCCTCTAATTAACAAGGAAAACAACATTGACACGAAAATATAGAAATAATGTGAAGGGGAGTTTCGACAAACACCACCAAATCTAGCTTTTAAAAGAAAAGATATATCGTAGCAATGATGTAAAGTAACCAAAACGAAATAGATACGCATCTGTCTCACGAAAAAAAGATATAGTGCAGCTTTCTTCCCATGTGATGGAACCCTTACTACACGAAAAATATTATATACATTGTCGTTTGACCCTATAAACTATTACTCTTGTAGAAGTTGACCCACTGAACTATTTTTTTGATAAGTTAACCATCTAAATTATTTGAAACTTGCCAATTAATCCCTCATCCTCAAATTCGATGAAATTTCATCTACTTTACCATAAGATATAGTGGCACAATGTTATCTTCATGACTAAATCACATTCTGGTCACGTGTCAATATTTCATGGCAAAATAAATGAAATTACATCGAATTTCACGATGAAAGGTTTAATTAGCTAAATTCAAATAATTCAAAGAATTAATTTACCAAAAAATTATTTTAAAAGGTCAATTTTATCTCGAATAATAATTCATAGTAAAAGCACAGTTTACTCAAAAATGTTTTCGCTGTGTCGGCACCGAGTTTTCAAACTTTTTGAATTACTTGCATGTAGTTACTGTTGAAATGGTTAACTCCTTTAACCAATTATCTGCTTTCTTTTCCTTTTTAATACATACAACCATACTCCAGTTCAAGTTCATTTCTTATTTAGGTTTGGGGGAAAATAATAGGAAGGTAATAGGAAAGGGGCATTGATCATAGTCCACGGTCCATTCCGTGAGAAAATTGCTTATATCATCTGGTTTAAAATTACCAGTGCTTTTGGGAAGCACTTCAACTGGTAATAAAAAGTGTTTCTAACAAATGCGCTTACAACAAGTGCTTTCTAGAGAAGCGCTTAGGCATAAACAAGTGTGGAGTGTAGACAGGTAGCATGCCCTTGCATGAGTATATACATAATAAATAGCACACAGAAAAATCTGTATCCCCAACTCCCCCCATCCAGGAAACAAGACCTACCTAGTAGGTCCTGAAAACAAAAGTATAAACAAAATGACAACCCGAAAATTCTTCATCAGGCACAATCGTAACAGTTGGGAGACGCGTAAGGCAGCCTACCGAGCATGAATTTGTCCATTCATTCCCAAGTAACCGAGACCATAGAGTTGGCCAGACCCGATTCTTCAAAAGTAGATTGACAATCATAATCCAGATTCTTTGAAGCTCCTGGGATTGCCTGTGTCAACTGAAATGGCCTTGCCTCGGCTTCCTTTAGTTGGGAATAGCAGAATGACCACAACAGCTGCAAAACAAACAGTTCAAATTTACCAACCATAGGAAGGGAGGTCAAGCATAAATATTAACTTTCTGCATAAAAATCCAAAATTCTCTCACTTCTCACCTGAATTGGATCAATACGAAGGAAGTTCCGCTGGACCCTGCGACCGTCTGGAAGACGGACTCCAACTCTGCATAGGAGGTTCCGGTCACCCTTGGGTTCTTCAGGCAAAGGTGGGTATGTAGGCATCTTGATTGAGCTAGTTTCTTCCTCCTTGTCAGTGATGATTTCATCTTTGTCTTTGGATATTGTTCCACTGGTCTCCTTCATGCCTTCCATGGAAGCTGCCAATGCGCGCTGCATTTCCTCATCTTCTTCATTAGTTTCCTCTGCAACTGAAGCATCTTAAGTCATACATGTAGTTCGTCTAAGAAAAGAAAAGGGGAAAGGAAAATATATCCAAAATACAAATCAATCTGCTGCTACCAAGTCAATATGGTATTGTCAAGGCTTAAGAACTTAGCAATAATAGCGGTCAGGTTCAAGAATTTACTGAAATCACTTCCACTACGGGAGTAAAAGCACACACTGATCTTGGTTTCTTCTGTGTATATCAACTTTGAGTTCATATCACCCTTCACACAGGGATTCTTTTTCCTTACTTCTCCCACACCCCCAAGCCCACTTTGTTAAGTTGGAACAAGGAAGTGATCCATTCAAAAGGTTCAACCAAGTGATAATACATGAGCTGTAATTTGGAAAATAATCGAAGCACAACAGACTCCATGAATAAAAAAGTTCACTGCAATGTAGTGGAGCAGAAGTTATTAAGAATCCCAAACATACCTTTAGTTTTTTGTGGATGAGCAGTTTCTCTTGGGCGTTTATTGGACAAAGTTACATGATGATCCCTGGGGCCACTATCCAAGAAGAGTAGTAGATCCTACAGTGGCAAGGATGGTTTCATACCAAAACTTAACTTCAAAGTAAAATTTGACCACAGTATGAAACGGTTTCTTAGGCACATGAACAAGATAGAACTTAATACTCAACTGTGAAAATACAATGTGTACCATGACAATTACCTCTAGAAAACGATCCGGGTGAACCATTCCATTCCATGAACGCATTTTTTGTCCAGTAATTGGGTCAATAAGGAGCACTACAGGCATAGATTCCAACTTGTAGTATGTGCAAACCTTCTTGCCTTCAGTTGTATCATCATAGGTCTGAATTTTCAAACCAACATTATATGGGTGAAACACAAAAACAATTAATTTTGTCAGAATCATAAAGATGATGCAAAAGTTCATGCACATGTCTGTTAAACAATTAGGAGGCAAAACCCTCACAAAGATACAATTAATCAAACTTGAGACACAATTAACAGTACCTCAAAGGTATGGTCAAGATGAGATCATGAGATACAACGAAACGCAACAAATTTATACATAACCTCCGTAAGTCTAAGTTCCAATAAGAGATCCTAAGACTATTGTTCTAAAGGTCAACCTCAGTCAAACTTTTGGTTCAAAGACAACAACATAATATAATCCTAACAAAAATTGAAACCATCAAGGCTGCCTTGGGCAAAACTTACTTGCTTTTACTATGCTACAAAGGGAGCATGGTAATTTATATGTAATAACATCCAGTCACATACATGTTGACTTTATTTCTTTTAAAAACGAAACCACACTAATGCATATAAATATATATTAAATGGTATATATTGAGTAAATGTGCATATGTATCAACAGCCTCCCATTATAACCATAGAATAAAGTATGTAGGAAAAATAAGCCCAAAATAAGTAAAAAGGACTTCTCAAAATTAAAGACCATCAGCCGTGCACTTGTATTGCGAATGTAAATATAATAGAACAGCCTGAAAACAAAATTTGAATTTTATTTAATACAAAGAAAGAATAACTAAAGCATGGAACTAACCTGCCAGAAGATAAAATTAGTAATAATGGTTTGAGAGACAGCTTCATTGGCCCAGGTATCTCGATTAAGCTGCACAAAGAAACACACACATGCCAAAAGTGAACCCACATGCATAGAACAACGAAACCAAAAAACCAAAAAACCAAAATAAAATAAACCAGAGAGCAAACACTACCATATGCGAGCTGAACTCTTTAGTGGATTGCAAGTTCACCAGTAGCCATTTGTCCTGGACAGAAGCAGCACTTTTTGCCTGCATTAGTTAAAAAAATTAAATTAAATTATGTTCCATCAACAGTTACGAAATGCTAAATGATAATAATTCACTCAACATGTCCCTTTATGAATTTGGATTCTTTCTATGCTTATAATTTGGTAGAACAAATCAGAAAGGCTTTGAAAAGAGGGTTACAGCTGCAAAAATATGATCATATCTGATATATGTAATTTATTCAAATAAGATCAAAGGAAGAGCCTAAAAAATAAGGGATACTCCCACAAAGCCCTTCCCAGCAACCTGCAACACCAATACTGAATATACCATTCAAGTTCAACTTCTACAACATACACACTACTAAAAAATTAACATAACATCAGAAGACCCTACCTTTTCAAAGGAACCCTGGAACAGTATCTTAAATGGAGGACGATATAAGGATGCAAGATTCTCTTGAGTAGCATTTTCTGAGGATGTAGCACCTTGGTCTGATTCCCATACCCCAGGACCCTGTTCATGTTGTGACAATCTAGCCCTTGGTGCTCTATATGAGAATGAAAAAAATAAAAAATAAACGTCACCGTTTAATAGAAAAAATCACGATTGTACGTCACCATCTGACTTGAGTACACAAATGAAAAGTGAATTAAGAAATGATAAAGAAACTAAAACATATTCCACAATCTATGCTACCTTGTAGGTTGTCGAGAAAATAGAAAGGAAATTAATTGCACAAAAGTAATAGGAAAGTTCTAAAAATATCTGAAACGCGGTACACAAAGCTCTTCAATTAAAATGAAATGAATAATTAGTTACAGTCCTGGCCACGTTTCATTTCTCAAACTCCATGTTCCCACATGGCATGCC